CCCCCCCCCTGTCCCTGCCAAAATTTAAATGCACTAAATTAAACTACCGTTAAGTAAGATATAAATATTAAAATTAACATGTTTCTATATACGCTTTTTTGCAGCAAATTAACGTAAAAGTAAAACACACTTACAAAAAATAAGTTCACGTGCTCATCGGCACCACGCGTTCGCACATTCACAATACATGATCATCACCACCACCACCACCCCCCTCCTGAATTTTTTGCACCCCCCAGAGAAAAATATGAAAATCCGCCCTTGCCTCGTACCCAGGCGCTTTGGTTTGTACGTCATTAAGCAAGCACGCGGGACGGCACAAATTAATCCACGCGGCCCACGCAAAGGCCACGCAAGCCATAGAACAATACATAGCGCAAAGTGGCAAAGTGGAATAAACAGTCTAGTAAGTGGCTATAGTACTGGAATAAAATAGTGAATTTTACACTACGGAATTTGCGATTGCATTACTTCACTCTTTCATGCCTGCATTGTGAAAATGACCATATAAGATCTTTTTTCCAAATATTTTTAGCTCGTTTCGTTATTCAGATGACAGTGTTTCATGTGCATGATCATTGTGACGTCACATTGCAGATCATGATTTCATTACCAGAAATTTCGGACACAATAGCGTCCACTTTTCGAATGAATTATCTAACTTCTTACTCAATATGATGCCGTGATTCTTACTATAATTCACATAAGACAGAAACTAAATAGTTAAAATTCGCATACAATATAGAAATAAGATTTCTCATTTGTTGCTGGGAAGGGAAATGATTACTGGAAATGTTATATTTAACTGAGTAAATTTTCGGCCAATTGCAATTTTATAAAGTCTATTTATCGCCTACCTAAAGCATTATATTTCTACGTAAGTCAAACAGACTTGACAAAATTATGAATGGCGGCAACGGGATCATAGAGACTCACTTGTACATTTTGCCTTTTCCGCCAGCCTTGTTCACTTTTCCGTCTTGTGAACTATTTCGCGTGAATTCTTCGTTCAAAGGGTTTCCTAAACCAAGCATAGTATAATAAACAATTACTGGACAAAATTAATTTTACATCTATCCAGCCAAATTGTCGGTGCTCGTCGAGTTAACCTTAGCCTGTTAGCTTGTTTAGAGTAGGACCGTTAACCAAACGCAAAAGCATTAGAGGTATCTACGGGCAGCAACGTTCTGGGGATTTGATAAGGAAATTGGAAGAAGTCTTAAGTTTTTTGTTTCTGATATTATGCACTCAGGTGAAGATATATGTTTGTGATGTTGTCTCTGAGTGTGTCCACACCTGGCAAGCTGAACAGTTTGCTTGACGGCGGTGGGAATCAAACCCACGACCTTTGGTTTGCTAGTCCAATCCTCTACCAACTGAGCTACGAGGTCAAACTAGACCGAAATATCACCCACTCGAACCGACTTGAAATTTGTTAGTTTAAAGGCTGTTTTCCACTGGGCGGAATTTTGCGCGCGGAGCGGAATTTTTCTTTGTCTTGTGATTTCTCGGGTGGGACTAATCAGAAATAACAAAGAGAAATTCCGCTCCGCGCGCAAAATTCCGCCTAGTGGAAAACGGCCTTAAGGTAAAGTTTTTTTTCCATTTAAAAAAATATAAAAGCCGACCGTTACTTGACCACTGCCTCCCTTAAGCCGATTGGTTGATTTTATATCCCATTGTTTTTCCACCAATCAGATCAGTTTGTTACAGATATTTGCACTGCTGCTTGACATTAACTGCTTTGAAATCAATCACAGTCGAGTAATATTTTTATGTATATTATAATATGTATTTAATAAAATGACTTTGTTAACTTAAATTGTTGTTTCAATGACAGGGCTGTTTATACGAGTGAAAAACCCTTTTCACATGCGAAAACAGATTGAGTAACATGTGTGTTTTGTTTGTCATATAAGTGTTGATTTTCTTTGTCATTTCCAAAAACAATAACCCGGCGCTCTTTTGCTTTCTTCCTAGTAAAATATATCGTCTTTTAAATAACTTTCATTAAAATTTAAAACCAACCAAAAACAAAACACTAACATTCAACTTTTCATTCAAATGTCTTCTGTTTTTAATACTCATGCAAAGATAGGGGAAATGTATAAGTTGACCGCGTGTGTTGGGAGACTGAAGCTGACGCGCATGAATGCCTTCAAAATTCGCCATGCTTGGCTTCACTTTTTGAGTCAGCCTTCCATATTATAGAGTTCAGTATTCGCACCTGGGTTGTATATTCCTTGGAACATCCTTAAATACTGTACTATTGTTCCCAGTAAACTGCGAAACGACCGTTTTTTAGGCAGTTTGTCAGTGACAGTTTTGTCAATTACGAAGGACATATTTGTGTATCTCGTGATCTCAATTCGCTGCAAGCGGCGTGTGAAAAACTGCGAGTTTCAGTTTGACAGTTCTGACAGTTAAATGAGTTTCTAATTTTATTGTCCAATCAGATGTGTAGCTTTGAATTTTAAATCAAAACTACGCACCTGATTGGACAATAAAATTAAAAACCATTTAATTGCCAGAACGGTCAAACTGAAACTTGCAGTTTTTCACACGCCGCTTGCAACAAATTGTGATCACGGGGTACACAAATATGTCCTTCGTAATTGACTAAACTGTTATTGACAAACCGCCTAAAAAACGGTCGTTTCGCAGTTTACTGGGAACAATAGTATAAAAGCTGCAAAGGAGTTAGACTTACTTGAATCTTCAATGGGAGGGTAGTACGTTTCTGAGACATCGGCTGTCATCACATTGTAAGTTGGTTTGATATCTTCTGGCAACTCCGTATCGTTATCATCAGTGCTAACATGATTATCATTATGATTTGCCATTTCCAAAGCACTAGCCGACGTTCGCTGCTCATGAATTCTTGCAAGGAATTCCGGACCAACAGTAGCTCTACAAAATTAAATACACGTTTCTTCTACTGTATATGACTCGTCTTTTACTTTTATTGTCAACTATAGGCCCTTGCATATTGCAACTAGTTATGTCTAAATAAATGTATGAAATTTACACTCAAAAATTCCATTTACAAAAGCCTTCAATCGAGTGGGATGCCAAAAAATCCTAATATTTAACCTCGCCTACACATGTATATAATTTGCATTTAGCTAGTAGCTTATGAATAGTTCACATGCAACATCATTTTAACTAGCTAGAACAAGACGCCTGCTCAGGCGTTCACACTGGCCTTCGCGGTTGGTAAAATACCATCGCAATACGCTAAAAAATAATTTGAAATATATAGATGTTCCTCACTTCTTGACGGCCGTCACTTCATGATCACAAACATTCAGAGTACGGCACAATAAAAATGGCCATACAAAACCAATAGAGTTCAGTGATATCTTATTGAAAAACACAGAAAAAGTTCAAGCGTATGCGCAATGAAATACATATAATTATGTTATTTACCGGCTGGGAGGTCCGGATAGAAAAATATTTTTCTAAATATTTTTCTATCCGGACCGACCTAAACGGTAAATAACGTATTTATTTTTTTGTAGAAGACTCAGAGGCAAATGGCAACGGTTTTATTAGATTGCGCATATAGAAAACAAAACAATAAAAATATTTTGATATTTAATTATTTTACTTTAGAAAACAAACAATTCAATTAAAATACAGTACAATTATTTGATCCATCATTAAAATTATTACAAAATTACATATTCATATTTTTCATTTTTAAAACAAACATACAAAAATTTTTGCTTTGCTTCGGCCATTACGTATAGGATTCCGCACCGTGGTCAAATATCGTAAAATTCCGCCCGCTGCTGCAGCCAATCAGATTGCAGAAAACGCTAGGATTCCGCCCGCTGCTGATTTACAAAAAAAAATTAAAGGGAATGTAATGCTACAACAACACTATACTGTACATATATTTAAAATACGGCAAATCATGTCAGCCAAATCATGTCAGCCTTGTGGCAAATCATGTCAGCCATAATATGTCACGTGGAGTGACTTTACAGTATATCTGATAAAACTCATCTTCATTAGTATTCTTTATATAATTCTTCATCCTAATTAGTATGATTATATAATTGTTCATCCTAATTAGCATTATTTTGTAGTCGTATTTTAAGCTATTCAAAACACTCGAACTCGCGTTTTATCATATCTAAAACGCTCGGCTGCGCCTCGCGTTTTAAATAATTTATGATAAAACACTCCTTCTCGTGTTTTAAATACTACATAGTACCCATCCCAAAATATTGGCCCGCAACCACCGTGATCTGCGCCTGATTTCAATTTCAGAAATTTCCTGAGTTTATTTCAATGCTGTATGATTCTTGTAAAGGTTTGGCCTAACTACTTCGGAACTTCGAAGTGTTTTTGATCATGTAATAACAATACATGAAGGAGACATGTGTCACTGACTCCTATTTTAGTAGGTGCGAGGAAGATAGAACAAAGATTTTCGCGTTTCCCGACTATCTTGTATCTTGATTGACTATGGCCACATTTATGACAGGAAATCGCATACCTCAAGTTAACGAACGGTTCAGCAACATTTCCCACAGGTGGAAAGGTATTTGAAGATTGCATCGTCTGTACAGGTGTCTGTAGTACTTGTGGAAGATCTAAAATAAATTTAAAATACATTGTAATAACTGCATGATAATTCTTAAGTAAGCCTGGCCAACTGATCTCACATCTACTGTACGACTGGACAGTTCATCTGCTCTATAAAATTGATGCAAATGAGGTCATATTGGTGTGACAACCACAACTCTATTGTTTTACTGACATTTTAGCACCTTTTTGCACTTTCTAGATATCGCTAAGAAAGAAAACGCGTTGTCTAGATACATATACATACATACATATATTACTCAGCACACTCCCTATCAGGGGTTTTCAGTGACTGGTTACATTAGAGCCGGAACTGCCGTGAAGTAGAACGAGGTAGACTGTGAGCTTACAAATGGCGCTTTAAGCAGCCGCTATTGGTCCATATCTCATTAATGATCTGCCCCTAGACCTATGTGCCTAACCCACCCTGTCAACTTTCCCTGTGGGAGGAAACCCGAGTACCCGGAGAACCGACGTTGACTTTTACTCTTTTCACATGAGGACTGGGTTCGAGTCACATTGAGATGTTCTCATTGAGATTTGAACCTGCGACCTTAGAAGTGAAGGCAAGTGCGCTAACCACTTCGCCACCGAAGAAGATGGAAAATGGTCATCAATGGCGGCTCGTTTTTAGACCAGTGGCCTGGTCAGACTTGGACATAGTGGTAAGAAAATATTTTTGTTTCCAAAATTCTCAATTTTGGTATAGAATAGGTAATTGCATAAGTCCTAGTGTAAGACATTGTGTAGCCTATAAAATGAGAAGACCAGTATCAAAAAAATATTCTATACTCTGATTAATTCTGGTGATTAAAACTATAGGGAAAGTAGGATTAGCAACTAAAATTTGGTGTGAAGGTTTCAAATGAACAAAAATTCTGTTTGATTCAAAACAAACTGATTTTCCATTCATCAACTGTTCATGAGAATTCAAGAGCATGAAGTGTAGGTAAAATATTTGATGAACGGAGCATGAATTGTGCTTTCTTGTGCACACGATCAAAATTTCATGACTTCCTGAACAAATGTTCGCCGGGGGATCAACTACGAGTCGGAATGTCCCGCCACAACAAAATCTTTGGTAAGAGAACTAAAGTCAATAATAAACAATTTATGCTATGCTTGCCTAGTCAATTTGTGAGTTTTTTATTGTCCCTAATTATCATTCATTTATCCTTCCATTCTTAAAGTGGAAGTCAAGTCCGTAATGTAAACAAACGGTTTGTTTACATTTTGAACTGCTGTATTTTTTAAAAATATGATGTACTGTCTGAATATCTAACACCATCTTGGTTCGCCATGCTTCTAAATGAATATGAAATAGAGTTTATGTTCCTTCTATATATCAGTTCCACCTACGTCCGTCAAAAATCAAGCTCCCTGCTGGTCGAAACGTGTTCAGTGTTGCCTTTCCTACTCAATTTCAATCTCTCGCTCTTAAATCCACGTCTCATTTTATGTCTCACAAATCCTTCACCAGATTTTAGTTCGTTATTGTAGTTCCTTTATTTTTTACATATATTAATATATTCACCACAAGTAGTAGCAGTATAGCATAATTAATTTTTGATACCGGTCTTCTATAGTAATATATAATTTTTAATACTGGTCTTCTATAATAATAATTTTTGATACTGGTCTTCTTCACATTCTATACGCTACATAATGTCACTAACACCAGTACTTGTCGGCATGATCATTTTTGAATGAATGAATTTACCATTTTGCCTAGTAACCCTGTCATATATCTGGTGATTAAATGCATGCGCATATGTCACAGATTCATGGTAATATGTACATGCAGGGTAGGGTAGGACTGTAGGAGATCGCGAACATTTTGTCCTTCCACTAAAAGATTTCGTCAGGTAAATAAGGTATATAATGATATAAACTTTATTTTGAGAGGGTACTCATATTTATACATTAATTAGAGCAGTGAGAACTGCGATATTCTACCTATACCAGCTGTAATGTTAAAACTTGTTGATGCTACATAATCCCAAGCAGATTACGATACGTCAGGGTTTATACAAGTTAGGAAGAGTAAAATTCAAGGGCTTTCCAGGCAACTGTTATATAAAATGGCAACTTAAATGAACTTCAAACAGCTTTGCGAGAAGTGAATAAAATCAATTCAACAAAATGTCCGTTTTTTAATGTCAAGTAGTTTCAGAAAATGTCCAGAAACTAACAGGATGAAGAATTTAAGGACTTTCTTTATAAATTCAAGGTTTGTATACGAACAACAAGAAAGTGATACAGCAGCAAACAACAACATGCATGCTTACCATTTCAACAACCAAATTTACCGACTTGGTCAACTTTGTTTCTTAGATCAATGAAGAATTTTAATTTTTATTCTAAAGGAAACTAAGGGATGATTTACAATACCAAAGAGCCAGTTTCCAGTATAAGATAATTTAAGCTTCGTCAATCATAGGTAACTGTGGGAACCTAAGGCCAATGAAAATTGATATCATGTTTCTCGTCCACAATTTTCAAAAATTTGGAGCGGGATTTTTTCATTTTTCATTATTTTTTGTATTTGAATTCTGCTTGTCAATAATTTCCTTGACCCAGTAAAAACCCCCCATAAAAATCTCAAGTATTAAAAATTGGTGTATAATTAATTGTAGTCCTACACTACAGTCTACAGACTACAATACATTTCTACAGATATCAAGGCTGACATGAAAAATAGAGGCATTCTGGCGAGTAATATCGTTAGAAAGATACAATTTGAGTTGCGCTTGGCAATGCAGCAATAAGACTTTGATCTGGAGATGAATTTGGTGTTTTTAAGCCTATTTTTCAAAAATAATGAATAATGAAAAATTTTCGTGCGGCAGATAAATCCCATGCGGGCGGGGACGAGAAACATGATATCAATTTTCATTGGCCTAAAGATCTGTTAGGGTTGATCGAGTAGGTAATTTAGTAATCTCATAACGGAAGGTAAACAATTACGGTAGGTTGATTCCTGATTTAGGTAGGCAAGTACTGCACTACTATCATATTTCTTGGAATCCAGGAACGACTCCTCTAAAAACAACACTTGCATTGAAGAGTTCGTGCGAATGAGAAAACTCACCATATGCCAGGTCGTAGGCCACACATAGTTGTTGTCCAGGTACAACATCGCGAACAGTTTGTAAGAAAATCCCTGTTGGTGTATTGAATGCGACGAGATTATATTCCCCATGACTTGTGCATCGTTCAAGGCAGTTCAGCCATTTGGAAAAGGAGAAAGATGCCTTATATAGATTCAAACAATAGTCATTGCCTTCAACGTCGGGAATCTGTAACAACGCGAATTAGGAAATGTTTTAGTCAGTAAGTAGTATTAGAATAGTAAATGGATAGAGTACAATACACACTCCGGAAAGTACGCCACTTTAGCTATAGAGTCCCGTTCAGTGGCGTCAAGTAATGAAGTAAATGTACTTCGTTACTGTACTTGAGTACTATTTTTGAGAAGTGAGCATGTAACAAAGTAAACTTTTTCTGGAGTACTTTCACTTGGAACGAAGTCATTTTAAGAAGTAACGTTTTACTTCGTTATTTTCATTTTGTGGCGAAGTATTTCGTTACCTTCTAACTTTTGTTTAATTTTGCGTGCTTTATATCAGATTTATTTTAATTTCGGGATGCGTAATACGACCTTACATGTGTCTGGGATCTCTCGTTTGTGACTTACTTATAAGCATTATTTATTAAATGGATTTCTTATATCTTCAACGGGGTATGGAAAGTAGACCATGCCGTGAAATATTATACAATTACTTTATGGTTTCCGTGTTTGGATGGCCTGATCCAAACACGCGGGAATGTTGCGAGAGTTAAGAAAAGCGAGCGAAACACGAGCCGAAGGCGAGTGATTTTGCCCGCTTTTCTTAACTCGAGCAATATTCCCAAGTGTTTGGATCAGTCCATCCAAACACGGAAACCATAAAGTAATTGTTTTATAAAATAACAACAACACGGTAGTCTTCCGTGTTTGGATGGCCTGATCCAAACACGGCTTTCGACCGATCAGAATACGCGTTATATACATGTTATTTTATAATGTATATTCGGTGTACGCATATAACGCGTGTGCTGTTTTGTGTCTTTTGTATGTCAATCCATTGGAGAAGTCACCCTCCCCCTCTACACGCTACAGACAATAGTACTTTTACTTTGTACTTCAAGTATTTTTTAAGGATACTTTGTACTTTTTACTTAAGTACGTTTTGCTTCCAGTACTTTTTACTCGATTACTCAAGTCGTTTTATTGTTAATTACTTCTACTTTTACTCGAGTACAAATTCAAAGTAATTTAGGCACCACTGGTCCCGTTTTCGTGTATGACATCAGTTAAAACCCACGTCTCAATCACGAAAACGAGGCTCTATAGCCAAGGTGACGTACTTTCCAGAAGCGTGTATATTACTTTGGACGAAAAGGGAACATTTTGTAGTGGATCGATTTGGTTCTGATATCCCGGAATGCATCTCGGAAGCAACATACAGTCTGCCACTAAATGATACAATTAATAGACGCCAAAATGTTGGTAACCGGTTTTAATCGAGTACCTTTGTTCATAAATTTCAAACTAAACTTCGTGACAGAGTGTTTATAAACTCGGAAATATTTTCCCAGAAATCTTGTCTGTATCAGTAGAAGTTTTATTTTCTGAAGTTTGGAAATGTACACACTTGAACAAATATACGAATCAAAACACCAGGTTAAATTTTAATCCATGGTAAATGGTTGCTTTGAGCAAATCCTTGTTGGACAGCGCGGGACGGTCAGTCAGGGTGTTAGCCAGAAAAAAAGGCTTTGTCCGTTAAACGTAAATTGGGAAAGTTTTTTTTGACCGATCAAAGTCCTTGTGTTTGAATAAATAGTGTTTTTTCCAACGTGTTTCTCCTTAGATGCAAACAACGGTAGCTTGGTTTTGTACATTCCATTTCCGGTGAATGAACACTGAAAAATGCACCCGATGGCACTTCGTTTTGTATATTTCATTTCCGGTGAATGAACACGGATGCACACCGATTACACTTTGTTTTGTACATTTCATTTCAGTGAATACACACCCAATATGAATTAAACGCGATACATTTTGAGAAAATAGTTAATGGGAAAAAGTAAATAAAACGCTCTTTAGACCCAGTTGGGAAAGCCCCTTAGCTACTTCAATTGGGAAAGCCCCTTAGCTACTTCAATTGGGAAGTATATGGGCAGAATATGGGCTAGCTAACACCCTGGGTCTGGACCAAAGCAAGTGCCAAAAGCCTGGACACAAACCGTGAAAGGTGTTCCAATATGCCGCGTAACGAACATGGGAAAATGGTGTAATATAAAACCGCTCTTGAGAACCACTGTAAGAAATACGGGAAATATACGGGGAAACGTATTTAGGCTGTACAGGTCCAGGTGTAGAATTCGAGCCGCAGTTCAGGTAAAATTGAACACGACAGCCATTGAAATTGATGGAGACGCACAAATTGAATGGCGACGACGAATTTGGCGGAGTATTGCTAGTCGCCTAAAAAGTTGGTCCATATATAAATGAAAAAAGAACAAGACTAACCCTCTTATCGTAGCTGGGCTCCATGATCAAATATGAGTCTTACGGTGGCAACAATAGGTGCCCGTAGTAAGCCTTCTGGTTGCCACCGTAGTACTGAAGCCTTTGACTCGATCATAGTTAATAGAATAGATGGTTTGTAAACTCATTAGAATGACAAGTTGACAACATAACCCATTATCTGTGTTAGTCAACGTTTATTCATAAATCTGGTCGTTCACCGTCACGTACGTTTTGTATTTTTGCCAAATTCACCAATAGCAATTTCCAGTTTACCCTATTGTTCGAGTCACAGATAGGCAACTTCCCTAAAACATTGCTATTGGTTAGTTGGGCAAAAATACAATACGCACGTGACGATGAACGACCAGATTTATGAATAAACGTTGAATAACATAGATAATGAGTTATATTGTCATTCTAATGACTTTCCAAACCATCTATTCTATTAACTATGACTCGATCAAGTTGATATTCAGCTTAGATCTGAGCTGCAAGTAAGGATGATTGCCACACAGTTTCGTACTTGGCACCCCCCCTTACCTGAGAAATAAACGAGTAGTTCAAAACACTTGGATCTACAGTTTGAGCAATATTCCCAGGAAACGGACCAAACTTTTGCCCTTGGAACAACTGCTTGGAAGCAATGATACCAAAAAACTGCATACCAGCTGGAATCTCATAAGAAACTACAATGTAAAACAGACAAATAAAAATAACGAATAACTAGCCAGGCTATTTGAGGAGATATACAGTGAATGGGTTTCAAGTAGTCCCACTACGGGTAAATGCAGGTAAAATAATGAGATTCTTTTGTTTAAATGCTATTCAATGAGATTCTTTTGTTTAAATTGTTCAAATTCAAGGACTTTCACAGATTTTCAAGTTTTGTGCGAACCTTGCCTAGCTATGGTTACTTGTGCAATATCATACATAAAAGTATCACTCGTCTGTGATTGGTTGATTTCAGTGCAGTTAATTCTAAACAGCAATGCAAAAATCTGTAATCACAGTGCAATTTTCTGTAATCACTATGAACCAATCAAAATTGAGCTAAGTTTTGGCGGGGAAAATTTAAAAATATTCTTTTTTCAAAACAAACATGGCTGCACTTAGCGCGGCGCAAAGATTCCCACATTTCGTCACGTTCAGATTTGATTACTTTTACCTAAATTATTAATAGGTAATAGCATGGTTTCTCGTGAAATTTGGATAAACATGCACTCAAATCATCCAAATTGCACTCAAAACCATACTATTACCTATACTTATATAGCTTATATACTATAGAATTCACACATGTCTTATGAAATCCACGTTCCGAAATTTATACGAAATTCATGAATGCTGTTAATGAAATTCTTAAAAGTCCTACAATTGTCTGGCTGCTCGTCTTTTGCAAGAAATAAACAAACCACAAAGGTTCTTTGAATGTATATATAGAACGTATATTGTCTGTTGAATCAAATAATGACCATAACGGAAATGACTTCTTAATTAATTAGGGGTGGGGGCAGGGAGGGCACTTTGCCCCAGGCCTTCAGCTCAGGTCCCCAAAGCGACGAAGTCCTGGCTTTAAATTTTGTTGATATAAGATTGCTTACCCGAGAGAATATATATCCTAGCTGTGTCAGTGCTGAAGAATATGCAATAAAGTGCAATATATTCTATAACACCGCTTCTCCTGTTTTACAATTATGACGTCATAGGGGCCCTGGAAAAATTTTGCCCCGACCCCTGTGCAACCTCTCGGTGAGCCGGTCAGCAGCTACAAGCTGAGTCCACATTAGGGCTTCTGCAGATGGGGAAAAAAGGCGTCACGAACGGATATTTTCCAAATCAAAGGTGGATTGAACGAACATACAGTAAGTTCTTCAGATGAATTTTGAAAACTGCTGTACGCTCGCAACTGGGGATAGCAAGGGGTAACGCGTTCGACAGAGGGCAAATACGGACAAAATATGATTCGCGAAATCAGGGTCGGACTGGCTACCTCAAGGGGGCCCGGGCGATTTGGCTAGATGGGGGCCCTGACCCCCCCAAAAAAAAATAAAATTACCTTATCCTATTTTAATTTTTAGTAGGCACTTTTATCATTAGTCATTGATCTGCAAAAATGTCATTATTTTATAAAAGTAACTTACGCAAATAAATTATAAATGAAATATGAATTTATGTTCTTAACGTCAAAATAGAGAAAGGAAATTATTGTCTACTCTTCAATGTCTTCATGGCGTTAGGAGCCGTCTCAGTGCCAAGGAACTGTTGGCAAACTGGTTGATGATCTGTTCATTTGATATGTCATTGATCATCTGTTTATGCATGTACGTCAGCATAAGTGCCTCTAATTTTTCCTGCCCAATGTTGCTTGTTAATATAAATTTAAGCGTCAAGAAACGTGTTTCGCAGTCGACTTGCGTTACACTAAGAGCGGTACTAAATACTGATGAGCTGCATATAGTTCAGAATACGTAGATAAGTTGAGACCATATTCATAAAAGCGTTTGAAATCGCAGCTGAAACATGACCTGCAAAACTTGTTTCTGCTTACAACTGTATGAATTGGTTCAACATGCATGATTTCCAATCTTTTCACAAAGACTCTCTAATGCATTTTCAGGCATTCTCTGTCTGTTCTGCATTCATCAAATTGGCAAGGGTCCAAACAGGAAAAATCCTGGTAAAGTCCTTGTGGTTCTCAAATCTACTATTGGTGCTTGTTACAATTTGATCCATTACGATATTGAAAACATTCACTTGATAGTCCTCGTGAGCATGCATCCATCGCCCTATTGTCAGTGTCATCCTTTTCACCGAAATGTAACTTCCTTTTTCGAATTCTTTCTGTCGCTTTGGATAGTAGACTTTCTTCTACTGCAACATCGGTATCAAAGCTAACCCGTTTGCTCTTGGCTTTCTTTGCGACCTGCACATGTTGCAATATTCAGGACAGTTGGAAAATCTCTGCTGATACTCTCAAGTTTTCCAATAGCAGATTGAAACATTCTCAATGATTGAAGAAGATTTAAGCCTCACGTTTGAAGGCATTCCGAGAGTGGTGTTGTAATTGAAAAGTTGCCCAGTTGCCAAGATTTCAAAGCTAAATTTTAGGCGGAGGATTGCGCGGGTCGCGGACCCTATAATATACTAACATGCAGTGTCGCCCCATCATTTTTTCAGTATATAACTAACTTTATATTGCTTTAAATTTCAAATTTGCGCACTGACCCGAGAATATCTTCGAGTTAATCACGTTTCTTTGCAGCTGAAAACGCCCAGTTATCCCGTTTTGCGTTTTGGCGCCCCCCAAAGCCATCCCTTAGTATCTTTTTGTGTATATATAAAAGAAAAATACTGGGGAGAAAAGATCGCAGGGGCCCTTAGTCGGGCGAGGAAAGTGGTTGGAAGCGTGCTTCCTACTTCTCATGCTTATGATTTGGAGCTTCTAGCCATTTATTTAAATGACATTTAAATTAAGCCAATTTGAAGGGGCCCAAAACGGCCTTACAAGCGAGGGGCCCACCGGGCATTTGCCCGGTGAGCCCGACCGGCCAGTCCGCCCCTGCGCGAAATACAGATGTGCGAGTAAAGTAGGGCGAAGGTCCAACCCGGAGGATCCGCAATGTGTTTCTGAGTGTGAAAGCCGGACAAATTCAGATATGTAGAGACCTATTTTGCCATTGACACAATGAAAGAGTAAAAGAAGGTCAAGAAGGAAATAGCACAGAGTTAATAGTTCAAAGCCTCGGAGGATGAAACGGCCTCCTTTGTACTGTCTCAAGTGAATAGATCCGTGCAGATAGGGTGACAACACTTGGCTGGCATAAATAAGATGTGATATTACCAGCGAAATGTAAAGGGTTCTCTGAATATCACAAGAGACACCATCAGAACAGAAAACCAAGCATTCTATTGGCTTTGGACACAATGTTTGCAATATGGTCCGCCAACGACAAGTCATAAAGCCCCATTTCCACTCATGAAAAATTTCCACGGACAGAACATTTTCCGAAAATATCATTGTTAAAAGTTGAAAAATTTTAACTTCAAATTTTTCTTTCCGCCGAAAATTTTCTTGAGTGGACAGATCACGCCAAGATCTCGTGCGATGCCTTCCGCCATTTTGGGTGGCAAATTAAAAATAATTTTTTCTGTGTTGGTGTAATGTACTCAGGTGAATATGATGCTTGTGATGTTACTCTCTGAGTGTACATCCACACCGGGCAAGCTTGAAAAATATGCCTGACCACGGTGGGAAACGAACCTACGACCTTTGAAATACTAGCACAATGCTCTGCCAACTGAGCTACGCGGTCAGGTCGGTTCGAGTATGTGATATTTCGGAACCGAATCTAGTTCCCTCGATATCAATGTAATCTAATAATATGATTTTTTCTGTGTTGGTGTAATGTACTCAGGTGAATATGATGTTTGTGATGTTACTCTCTGAGTGTATATCCACACCGGGCAAGCTTGAAAAATATGCCTGGCCACGGTGGGAATACTGCCCGGTGTGGATATACACTCAGAAAATTGCCCGGTGTGGATATACTCTCAGAGTAACATCACAAGCATCAAATTAAAAATAGTTATTAAAGACAAACATGGCGTCAAAGCAAGACTGTGCACTGACTGTTGCTGTTGCTTTTATTTGAGCATTTTGAAGCGTTATAATGGTCCACATCTGTGTAGTAGTCGGTTGAATAAACGATTTTCGCCACCCAAAATGGCGGAGAATTTTTTATGTACGTCATAGCGCAACACCTGAATAGAACCTTGGGCTACAACGTTTGCGTTTAATCCAAAGGATCTCACATTTGACTGGTTGGCATATTAGCTTATTGTTTGAAGTCCAAACGAGGTCACTTGTACGACGTACGAGTTTCCTTTCGACCAATATTTTTCCACGAAGGCCAAATTCGTCATTTTTTGCGGTACTTTTTCAAAAACGACGTAAAAAACCTAAGCGATGTGAAAACATTTTTCAAATATTTAAACGCAAATTAACTTATAATGATTATACTCACAATTAGAGTTATTCAAATCCCTTATTTACTGCGTACAATCTCAGATTTGGAAAAAGCACGTACCCCAAAAATGGCGGCGTGAGAAAGGCTAATTTCACGATAATTCTCGTTCAAAGCAGCTGCCAACAAAATTTAAAACTGTCTATGATATACCAACTTCAAAAGCGAATTTCAAAATAAACGAGATTTAATTGATTTAATTAAAGACCATGTAAAGTCCGTTCTGCGCATACGTTCTGCGCAAGCAAGGTCGGGTCCCGACCATTGGAAAGTTATTAAAGATGATGTCCACTCCTGTGCACATGCGCGAACTTTGTTTACGTTTTGAACCGCTATATTTGTAAAATATGATATACTAACTGAATATCTAACACTTTTCTGGTTCGTTATGCTTGTAAATGAATTTCAAACATCATTAATAATTCATAAGCTAATTGACAAATCATGTCAACCATAATACCATAATATGTCACGTGCAGTGGCTTTAAACCTGATAAAACACTCTATATAAAGAATACTATATAAAGAATACTAATAAGGCAGGTATCTATTGTAGTCATGTCCTCGTTTTGTCCTCGTTAGTATTCTTTATATAAAGAATACCAATAAGGCAGTATATCTATTGAATTTGGTCGTGTTTGAAGCCGTTTAATAAACTCGCAGGTCATGTTTTATTAGGTCTTTTATTAGCTTTAAACCTAATAAAACACTCCTGCTCGTTTATTAAACAGTACATAAACTGTACGTTTCAGTTCAAAAAAGTTCGAAAGATGCAAAATTTGGGCAATGTTTATATCTGGGGGTCCCCCTTTGTTATGAGCAGAACTGATGCGCAGAATGGAGTGGATATCATCTTTAATATTTCGCATATTCCGAACTTTCTTGAATTGAATCTCTAGTCTGTATTCATAAACAAGCATAGCGAACCAGAAGAGTGTTAAAAATTCAGTATAATATATATCTAATCATATTTTACAACTGTAGCACTGAGTTCAAAATGTAAACAAAGCGTTTGTTTACATTATGGACTTTACATGGTCTTTAATGAACCTTTATTCCTTTAATGGCAATGGCCGCTCGAAGATGAGTGCGCAGTGTCGTACGCACGAACAAGTAAAGTCGTCTGTACAGGGCTTCATACAAAATAATTCCGGCCTAAAAGTGTACGAACTTAATTTTGATGCAGTCCTATGACTAGATCAAGACTCAAGTACAATCACCGCATCACCAAAATAAAGCACTGTGCATGTGGTTGGCTAATTTCCTCATCTGAGATTTTTGCCCGAAGTTATGAATAGCCATGCACTAGACAAACAACCAGATACAGATCAAAGAGCCCACTGGGGGGGGGGGGCACAATTAAACAGTAATAATCCTGAATCTGTGATTAAGATTCTCCCAACAGCTCATGGACTGATGCCCCTCATCGGTCATAATAAATCATGAATATTTATGTGTCCATCTCCTCTGACTCTTTGTTATAAATGTACTTTTCCCTGATGCCCCAGAATCACTTTTTATTGTCTATTAATTCATTTTAGGACCCAGGACATCCGATGGTGGGGATGTACTGGAACCAATATTTTTAAGTCGGAACTGGATCCTGCTTGAACTTGAAGAGAATCCGTCTGGAAGTTTTGGTCGGAAACCAGGGACATGCCTTAAAAGGGGGTGAGGGCCGGGGGGTGCTTAATAATAGATCATAAAGCAGATTGAGACTGTTGGGGGTGTAAGACAAATATTGAATACTGGGGGTAGAAGAATATTGAATAATTGGTTTTAAAGTTTAGTATGCATATGAATATGAATATGAATGGTACGAATATGAATATTTAGGGTAGGAATATAAATATTACAAGTAGGAATTAGAATGAATATTTGGCCCACCCCAGGTATTTAAAGTGGAAATATGACTTATAGAGGTAGGGATATTAAATATTTTAAAATATTCTTCTTCCACCCTCAAGGAACAGGGTGCATTATCACTGAACATAGGCGTACAGGCGACAAAATTTTAGGGGGCGGTCGCTTTTTGTCCGATGTCTTGTGACTCCCCGTCCCCCCGTTACCAAATTTTTTACCAACAGTGAACCAAAAATTGCCCTATGTGGCAAGAATTTGGGGGGACTCCAGCCCCCCGCCTTGTATGCCTATATCACTGAAGAACCCCCAGCTGTGTCAATCAAACCTTGAGCTTGTCAGAAAATTGTTCAATCTAAGTTGCCTAGATTGTCAAAGAAGCCTCCCAAAGCCCAAAACGTCATTTTGTTTGATATGCCGGCCACGTTCAAAAATTTAATATATGGAAATTGGCACCCCCTACATACACCCACCACCACCACCACCAAATCCATCCATGTATAGAAAAATAACCAAACATCTCAAACTCATTAATAATTAATGAGTACATTAGCCAACCATATCTCTTTATCTTGCTCACATGATAATACTGGATACCTAGTGAAGTATATTTATTGATTCAGCCCTAGGACTGGGCCAAAATTAATTCACCTCACTTTAAGTAGTTACTTGTGCGAGATGTTATTTCAAATCCTGCAATTCGGAACTTGAAATCTATGGTCAGGCCCTCATAGTGGGATTTGATCGAAATATTAACACACAAAAGATAGCAGATCCAACTTTAGAGGGTGCCATGATGGGCTACAGCTAGTTACTATATTACCTTCACCTTGGCAGCCCCAACACTCTGATCATTGGTACTAGATGACGGTTGGTACTAGATGACGGTTTGTACTAGATGACGGTTGGTACTAGATGATGGTTGGTACTAGATGATGGTTGCTACTAGATGACGATTGGTACTAGATGATGGTTGGTACTAGATGACGGTTGGTACTAGATGATGGTTGGTACTAGATGACGGTTGGTACTAGATGGTTGGTACTAGATGATGGTTGGTACTAGATGACGGTTGGTACTAGATGACGGTTGATACTAGATGATCGTTGGTACTAGATGATCGTTGGTAGTAGATGACAGTTGGTACTAGATGATGGTTGGTAGTACTAGATGATGGTTGGTACTAGATGATGGTTGGTACTAGATGACGGTTGGTACTAGATGACGGTTGATACTAGATGACGGTTGATACTAGATGATCGTTGGTACTAGATGATCGTTGGTAGTAGATGACGGTTGGTACTGGATGATGGTTGGTACTAGATGACGGTTGGTACTAGATGATCATTGGTACTAGATGATGGTTGGTACTAGATAACGGTTGGTACTAGATGATGGTTGGTACTAGATGATGGTTGGTACTAGATGATGGTTGGTACTAGATGATGGTTGGTACTAGATGATGGTTGGTACTAGACGACGGTTGCTAGATGATGGTTGGTACTAGATAATGGTTGCTACTAGATGATTAATCTGGAATCCTGGGCATCATAATGAATGTTATAACACCTTAATTATATCATTTAATGGATCAGTCCGGAAAGATACAAACTTCCACAATGGAGGAAAATCTATGTCATCCGGAAGGGGAGAGGTGGAATTCATTTCTATAATAGTAAAATGTACTAGGACGTCTGAAGTGCAAGAGAAGTTGACTTCCAATGTCCCCCATGGGGGAAGTTGTGGATAATTTGCGGATGCAGATTATGATACTGACTAAAAATTGCCATTGCATAGCCCAGCCATGGTGTACTGACACTACTAACTATATGTTTTGTTCCATTGCATGATTTGTTTGCATTAATCAAACAGTTAAAATCCTAATTGCATTGTGTCTGCAGCCCTTACTCCAATTCAATGACAATAATCTATTTTGATGTCAAATATTAAAATAAATATTTTCATTCATGTAACAGAAAGAATATTTCCATGAGATTTTATAGAATGTTCCATCTCGGTTGTTGTGTCATTGTATGGAACATTTCATCTTTCATCTCGCCAGAATGTTCTTATGAATGCACAAATGAAAACGTTCACTATTTGTATACCAATCTCAAGCAAACTATGTTTCAACAGTAATGAAAACTTAAATCTTCCAAATTATTCCATAATAATCGGATGAGAGGTTTGCATTAATACATTTGTACTCCTAACTTGACAAAGAAGAATCTGGATTTTAAGAATCCCAATTTAATAAATGAATCCCTGACTGAGTGCACTCATTAGTTTTATAAATTATATCAGAACCACATTAATATTTTCATTAAATAAACAGCTAAACATACATGCTCAAAGTGGTGTGTGTATTAATTTTCCTTCAGACCTTCAAGTCTCAAAATACCTCATATCATATCAAGACAGTTCTAAACTTATATTCAAGGAATTAAAAGGTACATTTCATTCTAAGAACAAAATTCCACAATCACTGGGAGTAATACTTATATGGACAAACAAAATGAAGCATTCCAATGACTTATTACCACAAGGTTAACCAAGATTACATAAAATATTTTGCTACACATCCCATATTTAATATCTTCTTTCATGAAGAATCATAAAATCAGTAATGATGCTATGAATTTTTTTGTATTAAAGGACAAACAACCAAAGATCAACTAATAGGAAACCGAGCGATCTTCTTTCATGCATACAAAATGGCAGCCGACGCTCGCATGCAGCATGGATTTATTCCACAAGGAGCATAAAATCTTCATAAATTCGATCAAATAACTACTTAAACTCAAGATTTCACTTAAGATCAAAACAGTCAAGCTTAGTTAACAAATACGACTAATAATATTTGGTAATCATTCAAAAATTCAGTCGAAAATTCACGAGGTATTCTCAAGGGTCCAAATACTCTTGAATCCCATGTTGAGGAAGAAGAGCATTTGCTTACAGAAGATTGCCCTTTGCAATGAAATAATTCATAACAACGCGACCAAAATCAAACCAATAAACAAAGTTACAGCTCTTAGGTACCACACACAAAATACTTTAGCACGTTTAAATAGTTGTAGGTATTTTACCTGTCTCAAAGGGACTGCTTCTGTTTGTTATTGATTCCACTGATCTTTCACGAACCCCCAAAACAGAAATTGGTTCCGCGTGATTTTCATCAGGAATACACGGCGTTGAAAGCGCTTTAGCGCTTAAATTTTCGACGATTCCTTCGATCCGTTTCTTTCTTCCAGAAGCGGCGTTCAAATTTTTTGTACGGACCATTTTGAGACGAAATATATAAGGTGTTTTATACAAAGATCCTCTTCACGCGGTGACGAAGATCTTGGAATATGATTCCAACCGCAGCGAGATTCCTTCGATGCATATCAACTGGCCGAGCCAGCGAATGGGTATATACCATATATGGTCATTATTAATTGAGATTGTAAATCTATTTCCGTCCAACTCTAAGAAGACCAAGGGGAAAATTATAACAGCTCATCATGTCTCAAAAGTTACTTTTACCACATTTTTAGCAACTGCTCGTAAAAACCATATTACCACAAGACACTTAATCGATAGTTAGAGAATCACAGCGGTTACTCGATCGCTCTATGACTCATATTAAGTTGATGTGCAGTGTCCATATTTACGGAATGGATGTTTAGAAATTAAGTCGTCTGACATGCTCGTCAATCATTGACATTGACGTGATCATTGACTCACATTGTGGAGCCTCCAGTCAATCAAAAGTCACAATCTTCATCGAGATCTTATGCCCCTCTTAAGCCCTCTTTCAAAACAGTCACGCGTGCTTTCAAGATCATCAAGTTAATTTCAAATCGATGAAAGAAAACAATTTACATAGAATTTCGGCTATCATATTTATATTATATGTACATTATGAAGTCAATGACAATGGAAACTTAAGAAGTAATGAAAGTATCTTTTCGCTCTGAGAAGAAAACTGGTCGTCTCGGGAAACGGCACAGAAAAGTCACGCTCACAACACTATGCCGAAGTGAAATTGTTAGTGAAAACGTCACTTTTGCCGTAACAATTTGAGCATAGTTTCTAAACGGAGCGAGATGAAACTACGGAGCGCTTGGCGGCTTCGTGTCACAAAACAAACGGCGTACTTTTTTTAGTTGAACTATCTATGCCAGTATAGGTTTTGCCAAAAATATGAACAAACTTTCATTGGTAGGGATGAAACTACCTGAAAAATATAAGGAGAATTTCGACGTTTCGTGAGCGAAGGCTCTAGTAAGGTCCTTCACTAGAAACGTCGAACTTCTCCTCCTTATATTTTCCGGGTAGTTGCATCCCCACCAATGAAAGCTTGTTACATTTTTGGACCGCTTGCAAACTAGCATCTCCGGTCTCAAAACAGTGAATGCAATTCGTTTAAATTTCTTTGTTCTATTTGAAATATTTTAGATTTAAATGAGTGCGAATTTAATTTGTAAACAAACTGTTGTAACATAGTCTTGAGATACAATACAACGGTAACTCCGAATAAAGTAAGCCCTGATTTTGATTCAACGTTTCGACCCTCATTTAGTCATCATCAGGAATCAGATGATGATGACTAAATGAAGTCGAAACGTTGAATCAAAATGCTTACTTTATTCGGAGTTAATGCCGTTGACACTTCGTATTGTATTTTATGAAAATACTCAGTGGTTCCCGCAATTATTGTAGTCTTGAGAGTTTCGGCGTTTCAGGGATCGAAGCGGAATATTGAGACAGTAATTCGGAGTATTGATACTGGCCCAAAATCCTGATTTAAACTATACATAGTTTGCACACGAATATTTCTGGTAAGAATACGAATATTTTTGGTAAGAATATCGGTAGGAACTGAAATTGAATTGATTGTCGAATACTGAAAATTAAAGAAACAAACATTGCGCTTACTTTGAGTAATTGAGTCAGTACTCAGTACTAATGGAGTTCTCGAAGTTACAACATTATTAGCACGTAAAAAATGAAGCTCGCACGCAAGCTTTTCAAAATCTTTTTTTTAATATATTTTTTCTTTGCGGCGAATTCCAGGCTGATCTTCTTTTCACTGGAGTGCGAAAAAATGCATGTGGAAATATATCCGCGAAAATTTGTTGCGGATTCAAGTAAAAGTATACGGCGTCCACATGAATCTGGATTGGTTGAGTTTTCGACAGCGGACAGCGAAAACGAGCTTTTGTATTGCTGGTGGTCTGTATTCGTTGCGTTTTCATAAGTTTACGATTTTGGTGCTCGTTTTCGCGGGATCCGTGTGGACGGGAACGGTATCCGCAACAAAATGATTGCGGATAAAAATGAATCCTGCAGCGGATGACAGTGTTAAAATTTCAACCAGGGGACAAACTCGGCCCTGGGTTGAAAATGTTGTCATGTAATCGCGCGTTTGACTATTTTGATAGAGTTTTGTATTACAGACAGGGCTGAAATTTCAACCTGGTCAACAGGGCTGAGTTCAACCCCGGGGGTTGAAAATGTTCCATGTTAGCGGGGGTTAACAATTATTAGTATAATTTATAGATGATTATTGAAAATTCTCCACGCTGATTGGTTGCCGTTGAGGTGATTATTACGCGATAATCACCTAAGTGATTTTCAAAATGGCGGCCGAAGCCGTTTTTTCAATGTGATACGAAGAAATATGTATTTTTTTATATTTTTTCCAAATAATCACCTATGAAATTATACTAAAACAATTATTCAGAGGGTCCTGAAGGGGGACGGGTCGCAATCCCATTTCCCACCTGAAATTTTGTCCCAGTCCCAGTTGGATTTTTATTAGAAATCCCAGTCCGAGTTATTGAAATCCCAGTCAATAAAAAAAACGCTATTTATCAGTAGAATAAACAGTTTTAGACCTTTTAAGCCACCGCATGTGCGCACCGTGTGGCAGAAGCGGGACCGGCTAAACGGAGAGTTATGAAGTGGAGAGTTATCTCGGAGAGTTATGATTTCGGAGAGTTATGTTCGAACCACGCCCAAACCACGCCCACTTTTCCCAACGTTAACATTATGAAGATGTTAGAGATATCATTTTTTTATAACTCACGGCGTTCACGATTGTGGCAATGCCAATGAAGAGAGTTATGTCCGTAATAAACTATTATACATGCTCACTTGGATTATTACAAAGCCCAGCATTCAGATACAGCTCAGATAGAACCAGAAAACCTTTCCAATGTAATGCCCTATTGGTTGATCTGGGAAAGTATTTCCAAAACCTGAATTTCTGAAAGATTCAATTTTTGCAATTTTCTTGCAACTATGCTTACCGTATTTACTGCCAAATACACGTCAAAGCATGCTTCTGGGGGTACTTTGACCCTTCTGACGCAAGCATCTCATTGTTTTGACTATTTCCTGTTTGGACGTCAAGTTGTACTATTTCCTGTTTGGATGCACGCTACTGACACGCTACAAACTGAAATACCAAAATATAAGTGAAATTCTGAAGAAACAAGCTTTACTAAGGTTTTCTCAAAAAACTGACATAACTCTCTTCACTGCCACAATCGTGAACGCGGAGAGTTATAAAAAATGATAACTCTCTAACATCTTCATAATGTTAACGAGAGAGAGTTACGTCAAACATAACTCTCTCATGTTAGTTCAAGGAAACGTCGGGAGAGTTAAGAAATTGGGTGTGGTCATTGGAGAAAGTAGGCGTGGTTTTGGCGTGGTTCGAACATAACTCTCCGAAATCAGAACTCTCCGAGATAACTCTCCACTTCATAACTCTCCGGTTGCTAACTCTCCCTTTAGTCATACCCGGCAGAAGCGGTTGTGCTTTGCCTTTGAGGTATATACTAAGGGTTAAATGAAGTATATACTGGAAATCAGGCATATATTCCACTGTGCATCTGACCAACCTCGTACCCAGGGACTTTCCTCTTGGGGAGCAAAGACCCTAGTAGACGCTGGTCACGTGATCTGCTAAAATCTAACAGATTTTTTATTAGCAATCCAAGATCAGGTCAATGAACATTTGATATTTGGATTATTTTGATAGTTTAATTTATAATTTGCATTTTGTATGATTGTCGTAAAGAAAACCAAGATAGTTAATTAGAAATCTGCTAGATTTTAGCAGATCACGTGACATCGCATTACCTCAATCCCATTCCCATTTTTGAGGACTTCATTTCCCATTCCCAGTGGCCAAATCTCAGTCCCAGCAACTCAAATCCCATTTTCGCAGTCTAAAAATAGATCAATCCCAGTTCCCATTTTACCCCTTCAGGACCCTCTATTCACCTCAAGCTCGGTGATTATCGTGAATAAAAACCTCGACTTCGTCTCGGTTTTTAGGCACCCGGATAATCACCTCGCCTTCGGCGAATAATTGTTAATTAAGTCAATTAAGGTACACTGTCGCTTATTATTATTATTATTATTATTAAAACTTTATTTACACACGGAGTCCATTCGTCTCAAAATATGCTCTTCCATGAGCCGTGCACCGTTAAAAATATCTATTACAATTACAAATTGCAATCACAATTTTATTTTTGTCAATTACAACTAAGAATCACAAGACTAAAAAAAGTACAAGAAAATAATGATTGTCTAATAATACTTTTTAAATTAACTACAGATGTAGCATTTACAGCTTCGACAGGTAGGCTATTCCACAGGACGTACGGTTCCTTTCAGAGGCGCCGGAATATCGATAATTGGGGGGGGGGGGGGGGGGGGGG